AGGAATTCGTTCAGGACTTCTCTGCAGTGAGTTTTCACATTTTTCTCACACTTATGCTGTAGTATTTACTTATATTTTGGTGTTTTTTCCCTCACTCACTTGGGGGATTTGGGTTTAATTCAGGAGGACTACAACGAAATAGTAGATGGTTGGAAAGCAAAACTAGCCCGGAGCTCCACCGGTGAGCAAAGATGGGGACTCTTCATTGCCAAGAAAAAGTGCTCATAATTTATGCTTTATTTTTATTGCAGTTTTTGTTTGAAATCATTTGGAACCTGAGTTTCCTTGCTTCATTTCATACACAAACAATCTCCTTTTTAGAATAATTAAAAGATGTGCATATCACTATTTTGTATGTCTTTTGCTTCAACCATGTAGGTGGAAATCGAACCATCAACTTTTGGAAGGTAACAATGTCTAATGTACTCAAATATTGATAGCGGTTGGCTGGCTTTTAGTCGTGTATTAGGTATTGATAAGTCGCTGTTAAGTGGACCACGAACATTTGTGATTGTGAATTGTGCTGTGGCATGGGGTATGGAAAAGATTCTAGGCCTCTTGTCCACACCCTTGCCTTTGCTCATTCACGTGGAACTTTATTCAAAATTTCCTTGTCACCTTCACATTCACGTCTCTACTAGTTACAGCTTTTCATGTTATATTTGGTGTGTCATCCTTTCACGAGGTGGCATTGAACATTTTCCTCACCAACTGTATAATTGTCCTTTTCTAAAAAGTTTATTTCTAATCTTTGTTTTAGAAACATAAAATTTACCCGATTTAAAATCAAAATTATCAAATGGTAAAACAATGAATTTCAATCAAATTTTATCTCTACCATGATTACATTACCTAAAAGGAAAAACAATCTATCTTACGCAAACTACTAGTAAAGGCACTTCTCAATCCTTCTTTGTTCTCTCTTCATGCTTTAATTTCAAAATTTTGCAATTTCTATACACTAAATGGATCATCGAACTTTATGTTTGCTTGGGCCATATTTTTAATTCTCTTTATTTTGGGTCCATATTAGTTAAAAGGTGTAATGCCACTGCCTTTCCCAAAGTCTTTCTTAATTATGATTTTCTAATAACTCTCGCGAATATGGTCTCATTTCATTCATATATCTCTCATTTACTCGGCTCCAGAACCACCCATCTAAATAAGAAAGGAGAAAGGGATAGAACGACCCCATCTGAATAAGGAAGGGGAAGGGGAGAAATGGGTGAGAACGACCCCATCTAAATAAGAAAGGGGGAAGGAGAAATGGGTGGGGAAGGAGAAATGGGTGAGTATAAAAATGAATAAGAAAGTGGAAGGAGAAACGGGTGAGTATAAAAATACTCCGTAAGCAATATATTTGTAGGCTCTAATCGCACAAAAGGGGAAGGAGAGTACTCAAATGAATAAGAAAGAGGAAGGAGAAAGGAGAAAGTGGTGAGTATAAATATATATTTGGATGGTGTATGTTGTTGGTACCTGAAAGTTTATGTCCTTGTAAAATCATGTAAGCAGAAGGAAATCAAGCAAAAGAAAACAGGAAGAGCTGCATGCATGAGAAAAAATAGCACGAAAAGGGCATATTTTTAATCTGCTATCTGTGTTGAAATTTCAGAACACAGCATAAAAATGGCATATTTTTCTGTACAAGAAAGATTTGATTAAAAAAAGAGGAAGTGGGTGTAGAGAGTACGTGGGTGCAGCCTATCTGAGATGGTGAAAATGGGGATTTGATTAAAAAACGCATAACATTCATTCTGAAGAACTCACAAACCCTAAACTTCTGTCTGTTTGTGTTTTTTTTTTTTTTTAAAAAAAAACATAATGGTTCATAAATCTCTTAGCTCAGCTGCTAATTCACTGCAAAGCCTGTCTGCTTCGCTATAATTTCTAATGTTTTCCTCTTCTCTCTCTCACAACCATGCACTGCAAACTTCATTAAACGGACATGACTGCATAAAGTTGTGGGGTTTTCAGAGACAAGACATCCTCATTTTTCTCACTCTAATCAGAACTCTAAATGGGTTTAAGAGTCAACCACACTCATCAATTATAGGACCCCATTTGACTCGACCTTGGGTTCCTCACTAAAACCTATAAACTTTTGATTTTAATGTTTCTGTAAGATGAGTGGAGATGAGACATGGGTATGAGATTGTGTCATGGCATCTCTAGCTTAGCTTACAAAGGTCAGCCATACACTTAGATCCACTTGAGTGCTCGCTAACCTCAGTCAAAATGTATTGTGATACTTGAGTAAAAATAGTAGTACATGAATGAACCGATACCACATTTAAATATGTAACAGTCTAAGCATATCGCTAGCGCACACGTTTTAAACCCTTGAGAGAAAGTCCAAAAAGGAAAGCCCATAAATGACATTATCTGCTAGCAGTGGTCTTCGACTGTTATAAATGATATTAGAACCGGACACTGGGTGGTCTTCGACTGTCAATCCATCTTATGCCTAGAAATGTCGGGATAACAGATTTCTAGAGGTTTGAACGTATGATGATCGATCATTATATGATTCTACCATTAGACTTTATAGGGCCAAACGAACTAAAGAAATGCCAAAAGCACCATTAGAAGTTAAAGTCCACCCTATGGGAATTCATCCATCTTTCGATTGGTTTGTGCAGAAGAAATTAATTCGGGAGCGGTTTGTTTAACATTTTGGGAGCAAAATAATGTAAACTTAAAAGTATAAGACAGATGTGTACCACTTAGAACATCTATAATTACAGGGTTTGGTGAGATGAATTAATCCTATAGGCCATAACCAAATTTATAACATTGCCACCATTAATGCAAACAAAAATAGCCACACGTAGGTACCAACATTAATACAAACAAAATGTAGCTAAGTCGTTAAGATATCTGCCTACCTTTTCTTTAATGTCAAAGAACTAATCCCCACTCGATGTATAGCTCAGTCTTAACGTTGGTCTCACGAATGCATGTTTCCACACCTTTATAAGAAATGAATTTTTTGTTCTCTTCTTCAATCAATGTAAGATATTACAATCCATCCCCCGAGAGGATTTAGGGTTTAGAGTTTGGAGGTTAGCATCCTCGTGGTGTGATGTTTCGTTCCCTTCTTCAACTGATGTGAGATCTCACGATCCACTCCCTTAGGGGGCCCAGCGTCTTTACTCCTCTCTAATCGATGTGGGATTTCACAATTCACCCCCTTGGAGGTCAGCATCCTTGTGGTGTGATGTTTCGTTCCTCTCTCAAACCGATGTGAGATCTCACGATCCACCCCCTTGAGGGTCAACATTCTCATTGGCACACCGCCTGGTGTCTCTGTTTTCCCTTCTGAACTTCCCCTAAAGATGTTAAAATGCGTCTACTAGAAAAATGTTTCAATATAGTTATAAGAAATGTTTCGTTTCTCTCGAATTGATATGAAATCTCAGGTTGATCCGAGTCATTTTCAATTAATGATATCTTAAACATCCAAGTTTAGAAATTGAAATGGACAAAAAGAAGTGAAAAAAAGAAAAAAAAAAAGTAATAGTAGAGGAGGGTAGGGAGACAAAAAGGGTGTTTGATTACGTATTGAAATCAGAGAATTGGAATCTATTCTTACTTTGTTTCCAAACGATCCTTTGTTTCTTCCATTCTTTTCCTTCTGATTCTCACTTTTATTTTCTGCTCATTTCTACACATTACTTAACTCTTCCAACACATTTCATTCTTGGTCAACAACATTACAAACCAAAGACAAAAAGCTGTCTTGTTTTGCAGACAAGTTGACTTCCCATCTTCTCTCAACTGTTCAAAAAAAAAAAAAAAAAAAAAAATATCTGCGCACAGTAAACTTGAACGGTTACCTCCTAATTCTTCTCCTTTTGAACTCATTTTGAATTCACTAATGGGACAAATAATTTAAGTTATAATTTTGTTGATTCATTTGATTGAAGGTGAAATGGGTTTGTCTTAAACATCCAAACCTTCTTTGTGGGTCGTTTTTTGTTTTTTTATGGAGAATTTGATGGAGATTGTGATGGGGTTTGGTGTTATTATTAATTGTGATAATGTAATAGAGAGAGAGAGAGAGAGAGAGAGAGAGAGAGAGAGAGAGAGAGAGAGAGGGTAGGGTTCTGAGAAGGTGCAGTGTGTAGCCCCTTGGCCCTCTCCCCAACCAGCCCCTTCTCTTTCTTTTCTTTCCTTCCCACAAATAATTAAACAATTATTATGCCTTTCATTTCAAATGCTTGCCTTCTCTCAGAGAGAGAGAGAGAGAGAGAGAGAGGCTCGAAAATTGAGTCATTCCTATCATAATGACCAAAGGACTATGGATTCAGAGAGAGAGAGAGAGAGAAAAGATACAAATAAATAAACTGCATGGGGGTAGCAGGCAATGGATTCAGATATTGGACGTCCATTAACTTCTATCTCTTAAAATACGACAAAATAAAGTGTTGTATTGTATCTATTATAGATGTCTATTTAATTCTTTCATTCGTTCCTATGAAAATAAACGAAGAATTTTGTAGGAATAAGAAATGAAATAGAAGAAGATGTTTCCGTTTTTGTCCTAACGAACTATGGCAATTCTTTTTCGTATATCCAATTGGGTTAGTCATATTGTAGCAGTCGGGTCGAATAATTCATAATTTTGTTTTTTTGAAGGGAGAGATTTGTTGTGATTAGAGGAGAGAGCGGAAGGTAGAGTGAAGGTGATAGAAGAGGGTAAAATAAGGGTATGGTGGCGTACACAAAATGCAGCAAAAATGAATGAGAGAGAGAAGAGACAAAGGAAATGGGTATGTGAGAGAGAGAGAAGATGAGGGGCAGTTTGGATTTAGAATAAGATTGATAGCCACAACACATTAGGATTACAATTAATGACAGACCGCCCTCCCCCAGAGAGAGACAGACAGAGAATTTGAGAGAGAGAGAGAGAGAGAGAGAGAGAGAGAGAGAAACAGAGAGAGAGACAGAGACAGAGAGAGAAAGAGAGAGAGAGAGAGAGTGTCTTAATAATGTATGTATGTGTGATGAGGCTTATCATAACCCTCATCATCGTCAAGTCGTTTTACATTCACTTCTCCCAAAAAAAACAAAAACAAAAAACCCTCTCCCCAGAATTCCACGCCTCTCTCTCTCTCTCTCTCCCAAAAAGAAACCCTTTCACAATTTCAGCTCAAACTATCCCACCAAGCTTTAATTCCCACTCTCTATATATTACCCATCACTTCTTTCTTCTCTATACAGATTGGGAGAGTTGGGAGAGATTCAGAGAGAGAGATTGGGAGAGAGATTGAGAGAGATTGAGAGAGAGAGAGGGTTCCCACTCAAAAAGTTTGAATTTTTTTACACCCTTTGAGCTCTACTTTGCAATCCCATTAAAGGGTTACTACCAATTTAGTATTATTAGTTGTTTTTTGACGAACATGTGGATGATGGGTTACAATGACGGCGGAGATTTGAACTTTTCTTCCGATTCATTCAATGCCCGGAAGCTTCGACCTCTCATTCCTCGCCCTCTCTCTTCTCCCTCCACCAACGATTTCTTCTCTCAATTTTATCAAATGGGTACTTTCAAAATCTCTCCTTTTTTGCATTACTTTCCTTCAAATCCCTTAAGATTCACCAGATTTTAATGTTCTGTAGGGACTGATCAGAGCAAGAGAGAGTTGAATAATGCACCACCGCCGCCGGTCGTCGTAAGCTCGCGGTGGAATCCGACGCCGGAGCAGTTGAGATTGCTGGAGGAATTGTACCGCCGGGGGACTCGAACACCGTCCGCCGACCAGATTCAACATATCACCGCTCAGCTCCGCCGTTTTGGGAAGATCGAAGGGAAGAACGTGTTCTATTGGTTTCAGAATCACAAAGCTAGAGAGCGGCAGAAACGCCGCCGTCAGATGGAATCTTCCGACCAGTCGATTTGCGACATTGAAATCCTCGAACGGAAAGATTCAGGTAACAAAGAATCCGACCATTTGAAATGTCTTTTGTTCATGATTTTGTGAAATTTAAGCGATAAAAAAGGAAGAAAATTGATGTGTTTGAGCCCGTGACATAGATTTTGTCGCGAAGAGGCACAAATTTTGTCTTTGGGAGTTGTTCTAAACATTCTATTTGTTTGTTGATATGTAAAGTCGTATTCTTTTTGTCTTACTTTTTGTCAACAGGGTCGGGTAGGACAGTCTATGAAGTTGAACACACCAAGAACTGGCCTACCTCTACAAACTGCCGTACACTTGTGGAGGTTTCTATTTTCTCTCTCACTTTTTTGTGTTCTAATAAAAACCCCATTTTTACAACAAATCATGCTTTATCCTTATGTTTAGCATAAGTTTTCGTGGCTTTACGCTTACTTATATGTTCTCGATCTTCATTTTTCTCTTAATTAGCCAATGTGAGCCTTTAATAATATCCATCTCGGATAAAGTAACGTTGAGTTTCTTCCTAAATAGTTAGTACTATTCGGGTCAACTCTTTTTTTCCATGGATCTTTACTATGAAGATACCTCGAGACTCACAACTTCTTTGTTCGACACCTGAAAATTCTATTGAGCTATTCGGGTCAACTCCGTTTGAGACTTGCAACTTCTTTGTTTGACACCAAAAATTCTATTGAGCTATTTGGGTCGACTCCTTTTCTCCATGGATTTTCACTATGAAGATATCTTCGAGACTCACTCACAACATCTTTGTTCGACACCCGAAAATTCTATTGAGATATCTGCCTTTTCTCTATGGATTTTCACTACGAAGATACAACTTCTTTGTTCAACACCTGAAAATTCTATTGAGCTATCCGAGTCGACTCGTTTTCTCCACGGATCTTCATTACGAGGACACATTTGAGACTCACAACTTTCTTTGTTCGATGCTCGAAAATTCTATTGAGCTATCTGGGTCAACTCCGTTTCTCCTTTTCTCCACGGATTTTTGATGGGAAGACACCTTTGAGACTCACAACTTCTTTATTTGACCACCCGAAAATTCTTTGAGCTATCCGGGTCAACTCCTTTTCTCCATAGATCTTCACTAAGGCTCACAACTTTTTTGTTCGACACTCAAAAATTTCATTAAGCCGGTCTAATAGAGCTGATCAACACCTCTGAAACTGAAATAATCTTCATGTTAATTAGTCAACATCGGCTCTCGAACATAGTTTGTCTAGAAGAATGTTTGGTGATGATTATTCAAACCATCCCATGCATGAAATGATGAGGTAATGGGAAGGGTAGCTTTAAGGTGAAAAAGTTATTATAGCGTGTGATAAAGAAAAGATGTTGAAGAAGGAAGATGGAAGGGAACAAAAAGCTTAGCTTAGTTTGTTGGGAAATGAAAAGGCTCCAAAAGCTGCATTCCTTCCTTTCTGTCGGCTCTATACCTCCCTCCCCCTCTTATCAAACTTTGAACATCATCTCCTCTGCGTCTTTTCATGCCATCACGACCCTCCACAATAAGTATGATGTTGTTCAATTTGAGCATAACCTCTCGTGCCTTTGCTTTGGGCTTTCTTAAAAGGGGCTCGCATTACTTACTTACAAACCCATGATCATTCTCTAAATTCTCACAGGAATCTCTTCCAATTCAACGCGCGCCAAAAGATAGCACCAGGACACAAAATGGATGCCTCCATTCTTCGGCAGCCACTCCCGGCGGTGTCGGTGGCGTTGGCATTGGCATTGGAGGCTGCAGGCAACTGATGATGAACACCGCCCCCATCGCCGCCACCACCACGACCGCCACAGTTACAACAATAATGCACCAAAATGATGGGGTTGAAGGATTAGAAGAATCAGAAACCCTACAACTTTTTCCATTGTGCAGTGAGACAAGAAATGGTGGGTGTGAAACAGTGGAAAGCTCAGGGATGAACAGTGCTAATGTGATGACTCCACTTCAGTTCTTTGAATTCCTTCCATTGAAGAATTGATTAAGGCATGAAGTGATTTACCAAAGCTTTGAAAGTTTGTTCTTTCTGTTTATGTGTAAGTTGATTGATGAATAGTTTGGTGAAATGTTTCTTTTCTTTTTCCCATTTGGGCTTTCAATTTCTTGTTTTAATCACAACTCCTAACCATAATTTTCAATTACCACAACTTAAAGGGACACAAATGAGAAGGACAACCCAAATAAATGACCATTTTTCATACACGCCATATGTTACAAACGTTTAATATTCTTAATCTTCATAATAATCTTAAAAATAGGTTGAGTTTTCGTTGTAGATTATATTTTCAGGTTGGTCGGGTTGACCCATCTAAAATAGTTCCAATCTAACCTAAATTGAAAGAAAATCCAACCGAGTTGTCCAAATTGTTCGAGTCATTGGTCAGAAAAGGTTTAAGACGAGACATTATAACTTATCATGCCTCGTATTTTGATAGAGTCGTGGTTTCTTTAAACTTAAAGATGATTATCAATTTTGGAGATAATCTTTAAACCATTTTAATTTTCTCGACATAATTGAAGCATACCCTAGAAACCGATCTTACAAATACTTTTCAACATTGGGAGATCCCACATCGGGTGAACAGAGGAACGAAACATTCCATGTAAGAGTGTGAAAACCTCTCGACTTACGGTAATACATAACAAGCCAAAGCGAACAATATCTAGTAGCGATGAATTTGAACGGTTGCAATCCCATTTCTAATCGAAATGAGTTGAATGGGGTTGTGAGAAGAGTAATTAATGTAAAATGGAGGGTTGAGAAATGGAAAGGCAATAAAATGAATGAATTAAAGAAGGGTGTAAGAAGAAAAAGAGAATGAAAGAAGAGAGGGTTTAAGTGAATTTATGAGCGATGGCAGAAGGAAGGAAGGAAGGAGGGAAGGAAGGAAGGCAAGAGGAGCAGCGGTGTGGCAGTGTGGTTGGGCCATATAAATCTGAAATACTAACACAGTAGAAAGTGACAAGACTTCAGCTTGGTTCCTTTGGTTGGACATATAATAACATCATATTCACACAAACCCCACCACAAGTTTCCCCTTAATGCACTCACTTACACCCACCATTCTTACATCCCTTTCTTCTCTCTCTCTCCTTATTCTTCGTCATCACCTCATCATCGAGCTTTCGTTATGGTATATATTTTCGACCAAAACATCAAAAGTTTAAATTTTTATGTTGGGTTAACTAACTCTTTCGAGCTTCCCCTCAAGGTTGTAGCCTAACGTCCTCGCTGGCACGTCACCTGATATTTGGCTCTGATATCATTTGGAACAACCTAAGCCCACTGCTCACAAATATTATTTTTTGTGAGTTTCCCAGCCCAACGTTCTTGTTATCACACTCTCTTATGTTTGGATCTAATACCATTTGTAACCACCTAAACCCACTACTAACATATATTATCCTTTGTGAGCTTTCTCTTTTGAGCTTCCTAGCCCAATGTTCTTGTTATCCCACTGTCTTGTGTTTGGATCTAATACCATTTATAACAACCTAAGTTTACTACTAGTAGATATTGTCTTTTTTGAGCTTCCCTTTTGGACTTCTCGTGAAGGTTTTAAAATGTGTCAGTTAAAGAGAGGTTTCCATACCCTTATAAGAATGTTTAGTTCTCCTTTCTAACCGAAATGAGATCTCATAGTTGACATGTTTTTGAACTACACCAAAATTATCTATTTTCTCTCTCTCTCTCTCTCTCTTGTTGTACCTATTTCAAAACTCGAACAATCTTTCAGTATCTACATAGTAAGTCCACTTCTAGATGAGTGTTCTCTTATTTCGACTTTTATAGTGCCTATAGTAGCATAACCAAGTCAATGATAAGCGATGTTCTGTCATTTCTTGTGGTTCCTGGGCCTGGAGGAAGATTCTTGTTGGGCCACTAAAGAGCCCAAGCCCAAATGCATAGCTTATCTTGAGAAAGTTCTTTCTAGGCCCAAAAGTGGAAGCTCACTAACAAATTCTTTTTCCTTTTATTATTTCTTTTGTATATATATATATTTTAAATTATTTAAAAAAGAAAAAATCATGAGTCTGTGGTCTGAGTGAGACAGTCGAATTGTGAATGTTTGATTAATCCACCACACCTAAATGGTGTGAAAGTTATCTTATTTATAATCAAATGAATTACAAGGATATGGAAATAGTAATAAATGAAAATAACAATAAATGGAAAGACAGTCGAATTTGCCTTATAATAAAATATCAAATATAATATATATTGTAAACTATAATTTATTACTAAATATCTTTAACACCCCACCGCAAGCTAAGCGTCAGATTTAAACGAACGTGAAGCTTGAATCTGAAAAATTCAAAGAGGTTGAGAAACACTTTTCATGAAGATGCTAACAACCCGATTCTTGACCATCAAAAATTTGCAGAGAGATCGCCGCTCAGCGGCGATGCTGCCTTGGCTTCGGCGAGAATATGTCTAACCCATGAAGAGGGATTGTCGCTTAGCGACGATGCTGCCTTGGCTCTGGTGAGAATATTTCTAACCCCAAGAAGTAGAAGGGAAAACCTAAAGCAAGGGACAAAGACAATGCTGAAGCCGGAAGAGTCGCCACATTGGGCGAATGAACCAATTTTGGCGAGAAGGGCAGTTAGAAGAGTCGCCTCATCGGGCGAAGAAGCCAATTTTGGCAGGAAGGGCGGCGACAACTTGGTTGGCGAATAGGCCAGTGCGGCACCCAGATTCCGAAGGTAAATCTCTGCAAAAGGTTGATAGGTTTAGGTTAGGGTTTATGTGAAGGATGAAGGTTGATTGGGAAGAAAATGAGAGAGACTATATTGGCCAAGGGGAAAACCGATTGAGTTGGAAAAGGTGAGGTTGTATGTACAGAGTATGACGAAAGGTGATTTGGAGGTCAATAGGGTGGAACCGAAGAGTAATCAATCGGCTCCGACTACGGCAGCCATGAAGACTGCCCCTGCGGCGTCAAAACCAGCACGGATGGTGGAGAAGAAGATTAAAAGATTCAAAAGCCATTGAAAAGAAAGAATCGGGGTTGTTAAACCGAGATGGCTCTGATACCATATGAATGTTTGATTAATCCACCACACCTAAATGATGTGAAAGTTATCTTATTAAGGATATGAAAATAGTAATAAATGGAAAGATACCTCTAATAATAAGACAAATACTAGATATTTGCCTTATAATAAAATATCAAATATAATATATATTATAAACTATAATTTATTACTAAATATCCTTAAACGAATAAACGACCATTTTAATAGAAGAATCTCTTTTAGGACGACGTTAGCTTTGGTGTCGGACCCGGCTGAGAGAGACTAATTTTCTTTAGTTTAAAAAAAAGAGAGAAGGGTATAAAGGAAAATGTGGCCTTAACTTTGTTCACGTGCGGTGATCAGTAGCAGAGCCGTTGCACATTCAGATCCAAAAAGTGGAATAAAGCAATGTGAACCGTTGATGTGAAAAGATCGTAGGTTTGTACTCATTTTGCGCCATACGTGTGTACGGTGCTTTCTTTACCTAACTCACACGTGTCAATATTACAGTTGTTATTAATATCATCCTTCAATTATTTCTAAATAAATTCTCCTCATTAAATGTTTCATTGGCTCATCCAAGAATTCAAAACAGTTTGAATTTTGATAATATTTGTTAGAACACTAACAAAAATGTGCATTTTCTTAGTATCTTCCCTAATCGTTATAGCTAATTACTAGTAGTTATTGTCCTTCCTAGACCTCTCTTTTCGGACTTCCTCTTAAGATTTTAAAATGTATTCACCCGAGAGAGGTTTGCTCACACTCTTGTAAGGAATGTTTCATTTCCACTCCAATCATATGAGATCTTACAATCCATCTTCCTTGACGATCAACATGTTAGCTGGCACACTGCTCGGTATTTAATTTTGATATCATTTGTAATACCCGAATTCACCTGAAATGAAACATATTTTCATTTTCAATGGAGAATCTAAATGGGGAACAGCCATTAATTGGATCGTTGAAGAAAGTGAAATGCTTTAAAGTTTGAACCATGGAGGAGACAGCCCATATCTCTTTACATACTTTATTATAAATAAATAAATAACACTATTTTAGTCTCTCTTCTTACTTCATTTCAAAACCTTTATTAGTGATTAAAGTAAGCTAAAAATTTAAAGAGCAAATTAAACGTTTTTACATATTTAGATGCGATTTAATTTAAATATCTTGGATCATTTAAAACATGCGTGCAAAAAAATTGAGTCACAGTCAATGTTTTATCAACATTGTTACGAAGAACGTCCAAATTCGATGATATCGAGACCCCCAACACCAAAAAATAGTTTTTTGTTCGACTACTCTTCGCTTGCGGTCTTAGTCCTAATAACAAAACCAAACCAAACCAAACACTGCTTCTGACATCTTTGGGAACTGGGCAGCTTTGTCCATAAAGTCTCCATTTTTACTCATAAATGACTAATATCAATGCTAAAATAATGTCACTTCTTCCCATTCAATTATACAATTTTCAAAAAAGCCTCCAACCCATTTCAGCTTTCCCCACTAAAAGTTTAGATTTTGAGTATATCTCTATTGTTATGAAGCCTTTTGTAGAAGCTAAAATATAATCACGAAGATTTATACTCAGTGGACAATATCAAACCATCTTAAAGACTCGTTATTTCTTCACTATTTTTAGGCTCTGTTTCTATATAAACCCTCAACCCCAACAATTCTTTGTACTCAGCTATCAGTCATGAAGGTCTCTCTGGGATCTGTCGTTGCGCTCACTCTCTACACTCTCCTGACTTCCCACATTTCAGGTAACTAAACGAAGTTTTGGGGTTCTTATTTTGTTCAATGTGACTCAAATCCATGGCTTTGATTTCTCACAGTTTTGGTCTCCGCCACTACAATAACGCTTTACAACAAATGTTCTCACCCCGTTTGGCCTGGCATTCAGCCAAGTGCAGGCAAGCCCTTGTTGGCTAGAGGTGGTTTCAAGCTCCCACCCAACAAGGCTTACTCTCTGCACCTTCCACCTCTCTGGTCTGGCCGCTTCTGGGGCCGCCATGGCTGTGCTTTCGACGCATCTGGGCGAGGCAAGTGCGCTACAGGGGATTGTGGGGGAGCC